GTTTTCATCGTGTTATTTTATAGTATATAACTACCAATAATGTGCTGTCTTAGGTATTACAATTATTAGGATTAGATAAACGCAAGTAATATACATGGTGTTTAAAAATGCTGCATGTATTTGGAATCATATCAGAATATACCATGTTTTGTTATTTCAGGTTTATTAAATAATTGTCACCTTCAAACACATAAACACTTGTAGTGGGAGATATAAGATAAATTAACGAGTACAGGTATATTAAAAGAATTATTATGTATAGTAACATAAATATTAATCAACAGTATATGTATTTTATAAGCAATGAATTTATTATTGTTATTGTAGCCGTTATGTGATATTTTTTAAATAATCAACATTTTTGAAATACTTATTTGAATATTCAATACATAAATAAATATTTATTTCTTTAATTTCTTTATTTCTTTCTTAATTTCTTAATTTATTTATTTATTTATTTGAAGTATTGTCATGTTCTTAAAGGAAATTGTTACATATATTTATAAAAAGTATATATGAATATCAACCCAAGGTGGTATTTTTAGGTACAATGGATGTTGACAGCAGTGATGATGACAGCTTTCTTGCTCTTCTTCCTTCAAAACGAATCAAGACCACTGACTACAGCAAATGTGTCATATGTCAGGAAGATAGCAGAGAAACTGTAAGCAAGGCTACAGAGAATGGTGTTGCAAAGTTTAAAGAGGCTGTCCAACAAAGAAGAGATGAAGTTCATGAAAGATTGGATCCGGATTTTGATAGACTTGCTGAACAAAACATTGTGTGGCACAGAAACTGTTATGCTAAATACACAAGTGCACATAATATTAAACATTCAAAAACAAGGCAATTAAGCCTGGCTCCTAATGTTATTGAGGGTCACAATCCAGAACAGGGAGATTTACTTTCAAGTACTAGTTCTAGGTCAGTGCGGTCTCAATCGTGTGCAATGGATTGGTCAATGTGCATGTTCTGCCAAAAGAGATACAACAGAAAAGTAAAAAAAATAATATCTATAACCACATTTTCTGCATGTGATGCTATAAAACAAGCTGCTAAAGAATCTGGTGATGCAGATATGCTTACTAAAATTCGTGATATTGATCTGATAGCTGCTGAGGCTAAATACCACCATTTATGCAGGGCCCAGTATGTACATGTAGCAAAACGTAATGTGAGTT